CAGGAGTTTAGTAATATAACATATATTTATATTAAAAAAGTTTCCATAAAAAGTAGTTTCAGCTTACATCTGAAATATACAGACACTGATTCAAAAACAAACAAAAAGAAAGCTACATAGCCATTTAAAAATATATTTTTGTCTCTCAGAGGCATATTTTTTTAGAAAAAGCACTAGATGAAGCACTAGGTATCAAAAACATTGTCCTAAAGCTTCTTTTGACTTTGAATAACAGTATTTTATAAGCTCAGGTCTAAACACTACACTAACCTCCTACAAATGTCCAACAAAAATGCTTTACTTTTGGAAAATGGTGGAAAAAATAAAGAATTTATGAAGGATTTATGACAACTGAAATAATTTTAAGTGTAACTGTACTTTGCACAAGATCTCCAAAATTTGTAGAGTAACAATGCATTACATATCATTCCAGAAGTAGCAGACAGATCGGGATTAAGCAGTTTCAATTACTGTTGATCTTGCTTTCACAGCACTTACTCCGCTATCATTTTCACAATAGCTAAAATAAAGCTAGAAAAACATAGCCAGGAATGGAAGACAGGTATGTGAGAAAAGGTTTCCTTAACACCAACAGCAACACGCAAAAGGTAACTATCAACCATGTAAGAGAGAAAACCCAAATCTGAGCTTGAAAATAGAACCTGAACTGCATCACCTTTCCTTTCAACTTGTGGAGAGAGTCTACTAATAGAAAAACAACCTGATCACCATTTGGGGTTGCTTTTACTATATAGATGGCATCCAGAAATTACCTACTGAAAAATGGTACTTTACTGTGAATCCTCAAGTAACCAACCTAGGTTTTGTTGCGATTGATTATTATATCTCGTTGCAAAGCTTCAAAAAGAACTTAAGCTTCCTGCATCAGCAATACTAGAATCTCCTGACAGTGATGAACCCCATTCTCATTCGAAGTGTCTTCCCAGAATAACCACAACACAACCACTGATCCCAACTGACTTATCTAAGACTTCTGTAAGATGCCTTTCCTGTTTGGGGTGATGAAACCACATCATAAATATCAAAGTTGCATAGGTTTAGAGAGAAGAATATACTTTACCTTCATTGTTATAGGTAATTTTATTTGATAACATCTCTAAAACAAAACTCCAATGAGTTCAAGGCAGTCCTTACAAACTGCTTTTCTCCAACTGATTCATAAGACTTCTAATTACTTTCCATTACACCTATATATCCACAGGGGTCACTACCTTTCACATCAGAAGTAATAAAGCAAGTATGTTTAAAAAAAGCAAAGCTGTGTACAAGTGCTTATTCAGTGGTTGTACAGAAAGCAGAGAACTTTGTTGTTCCTCCATGTCCAGAATTGCTGAAGCCCAAATAAGACTGCTCATCTACCTTCAGATTGCACCTTAAACCTCAAGTTTTGAGTATCAGTACAGCTCAGTTTGTTGTAAGGGTCTCCATCTCTCTTGTGGTGCACCAAGAAACGTAGAAGTCTTCATGCTGCAGTTCTGGCCTGTGTTGCTATCTAAAGTTATGGACGTACATGAAGATTTCTGCCAGACACTGATCCCACAGCATTTTACATTCTTATTACTACTGGCAGTCTAACAAAAGCCAGGTGGTAAGCAAAAAGACAACACGCATTAACTCACTTGCTGTTTCCAAGTGATTTTGTACTACCTTGGAAAAATTCCAAATATCATTAAATGCATCACTTGGGTTTACTCACAGATAGTACCTTTGAAGGCAGATCAGAGTTAAGCAGTACTTACAGACCAAATAACACTGGAACAAAGATTGCATTTTAATGGGAGTTCACTAATCCTTAAATAAAAACTGCATTAAGACATTACTATTAGTGTCTGTTAGAAAAAGTAATCAGATACTGCAATTTATCACAGTATTAGGCTTTATAAAACAGCTTCTGGAAGACACACTGCTCGGTCTTCCCAGTTCTCTCTAAACATGAATGAGTACCTTTCAATATTTATACACAAAAATCTCAGAAAGTTAAGAAATACCACTGGCCATAGAAACATAAAATTAGAATGCTACTTTTTCATGTTTGCTGAACATAGAGTTCATGGAGCATTCTATGAGTGCTCCCAAGTTAAAATTCAAACTTTATGTTCTCATGAGGAAAGAAAAAAAAGAGTATACTACCATTCATCACAATAATCTGTAAGACAGTATTACTTGATAATAAAAAATGAATGGGAGAAAATACTCATTTTAGCACAACATACACAAGTGTAAGGCACAGATGCTTACAGATGCATAATATGTTACCTGAATAAATGCATTTTACATGAAGATAATTTTAATATTGCCTACTTACATATAATTAAATGCAGTATTTTGATCATCCTTTGTCAAGGCAGTTACTTTCCCCAGCCTAGGAGTGACAACTTCCACATTTGGTTAAATTTAATTTCTTTCTCCATCTAAGTCTTGAGGAAAACTATCTGATGTGCCATAAAAATAAGATGTAGAAAACCTGAATGTTTTTAAAAGTACAAGACAATTTCCTTGGCACTTTTAAATAAAAATAAAAACAAAACCAAATCCAACACCTGACAGAAAAACTACTTGTTGAATCTGGTATGGGCCACTAAAATACTTAATTATGCACATTCAACTGTTGAGCACCCTTCCAATATTGTGCCTTTGGCATTTCAACAGATCAGCATGCAGCGGTGATGGATAACTGTTCAGGACAGCAGAGCTAGCTGCAGCTTCAGGGAACAGAAAGGCAGCCGTGCATTCACCTTCCATCTTCCAGTGTCTGCAGTCCTCCATTTGTTATTTTACAACTGCAGCTAAGTTCCTACACAAGAGTATCATGCTACTACTCAAGTAGTTCAAGGGTACCAAAACTAAGAAACTTCCAAACCCAAATCAGAGATGTTCACAGCCTTCTGTATGTAAACTGTGCCCATATCCACAACTTTTGGGTACAAAGAGATCAAACAAGTAGGGAAAAGAAGACATAATGTCACTGCACTCATATCCTCTCAGATAAAGGATACTAACCTCCAAGGCAAGGTGGACTAGTACCTACAGATGAAACAAAACATGCTCACTGCTGAAAAGCCATGAAGGAGGAGCGCTCTAAAGAATATGCACATTAGAGCCCCCTGGTATTCATAACTACAGAAGAAAGGTTAGAGTATCAATCTACTTAACATTGTATCTCCAACTTGGGTGGGGGAGAGGTAAAAATCTGGGCAATACTGACACTTACAAAACGTTAATCTTAAAATGGTTTGGCAGGTTAGCTGTAACCATTTCAGAACTCATTCAGACAACTTGATACAATGGTTGACCACAATGAATAATCAGTTCAGCTATGAACAGGAACTGAACAGCATGGTTTTGTTACTATTAACTGGAAGAACATTTTTTTCTCCCTCACCTTGGACTGCTTGGAAAATCTCAGCAACAAACTGTCAGATGGCCAGGCTTCAAGAACTACAGTGCAGGTATGGCAAGTCAGTCCCTCAGACTTTTTCCAGCAGCGGTGTCTGTCCCCTCCCCCCCAGTATAATGTATGCTTAAATACAGCATTAATTGAAATAAATTTACCCTTTAATTACTAAATAAAGCCAACTTTAATAACTTCCAGTTTTGCACAGTGGGAAACTGAGAAGATTCTACAAAGAATCCCTGTAACAGGAAAACAACAAATGTTTGTAACAGAACCATCACATATCACGAGCAGAACCATCTACAAGTTTTAGAAAACCAGAGGGTAGAAGTCATGCATCAACTAAGTCAAACTACAGTAACTTGAGAGAACAAAGAAACTATTATGTGGATGTTTCAAAAGCAATAGCTAAATAACTGGAAAATAAGACAAACTTACATCTCCTTGTGAAATCAAACTCAACAACCTTCACATTGTGTTCAAGCACTATAGGTTCCAAGAAAATCACCAAATTCCTGGAGAAGGATTCCCAAATTTAAAGGTAATATGGATAACGAGATAACTAGTGAACCCATAAACCTGCTACAAAAGAAGGCCTGAAAAAACATTCTCTTTCAAGACTACTTGGAAGAGGTTTCCACCCCACTTCCCCCATCCCCCATAGATCACAAACGAGTTGTCTGTTCTGCTAATTTACAAGCAGACTTTAAGGGAAGTGGAACGTGAAAGAAAATTGATGGATTTCTGTATTTGGGCCTTTTATCACTCTGGAAATTGACACATCGACAAATGTAAACCACTGAAAGGAAAGCTGCAAAAGATTTAACATTGTGACTAAGAGCCTAAATAGCCCCTCCCCCACCTATTTCTCATCCAAGGAAAACACAACAAACATTATCTTCCTAGAAATTCTAAAGGAAACATATAATACAGCTTTCCGTGTAGAACAGACATGGATCACCATATATAATCAACCAAATAATAGCTATTTTTTTGTCATCCTGTCATTTCTTTTAAGAAGCCTAGTATTTAGGCTAAGATCGAACGAATCCATGATAAAAGTGTCTAAAGACTTCAGCCATCCTCCTTCCATGTGCGAGAGTCTGAATACTCATGCAGAAATACACCCAAGTTGGATTGTGCTTCACTGAAAGAAAATTAAAAGCCCCAACACATCAGTGATATGCAAACGTAACATCAGACACTAAGCTAGCTAGAGCTCCCTTAAAGGTTATTGAAGCTATAAAATTACAATCTTAAAATAGCTGTTCAATAATCAGGGACATTCCATTATATAATTAATTAGTTGTGAAAAGCTTTCACCATCTCTTAGCATTTTAAATAAACGCTTATTTGCCAGCAATACCTAGTTACTGATAAACAAACAGTAGCTACTTGGCCTCTTTTGTTATGTCATTCTTCCTGAAAGTTTATAATTAATTAGCAGTCTAAAACAAAAGCACAGCGAGAGGAAGGGGACCATTTCTAGTCCTACCAAAGTTGTTTTGAAGTTTTAACGTGGAGATAGCTTCTCAAAGATAAGTTACATTTGAGGCTCAGGCTAATAATACTCTTTAATACTCACCAAAGGGAAAAAAGAGATAACTAGGACACAATGTACTCTAAACCACAAGCAGGGCTGGAGCCTCACTGGCTTGATAACCGCACCGCATCCAGGCTCCAGTGTTACTCTGTGCAACTTGACTGCTGTAAGTCAGTCGCGATACCACAACAGCTGAGCGGGGCTTTAAGCACAGCTTCTCCGTGCAACTTCCTCCACAACTGCGAAGTCTCCGCTAACTCCTGCTCCTCGCAGCCTCCGCTGCCGGTATTTGCAACCCCGGGAAGCTGCGGGACAGCGCTGCCGCCCCGGGCCGGGATCTTTGTTCAGGCCAGCGCCGCGGCGGGAAGGTCCCTGAGGCCACCTCGCTCACGGATCACCGAGCAGGCAGAGCTGCTGGTCATCGTGTCCCGATAGCAGCCGTCAGCGCGGAGGGAGCCGATGGTCTCCGGGCACAGCAGCTCGCCCCGGCCGCCCCCTTTGTTTGCCCTCTCGCCTCGGGAAACGAGGCAGGCGGGAGCCGCCCCCCCCCGCGCCAGCAGCGGCCTGTCACAGCGGCCGAGAGCCAGTACCGTGCCGGGTCACCCACCCGGCCGGCGCCACGAGGCGGGCAGCGAGAGGAGGAGACAGGAGGGGGGGGAAAGACCGAGACCCACAGCAAACCCCGCCCTCTGCCCGGCGGGAGAAGGGGGCACTCGAGCCAGGCGGGCTGCCACAAGAGGCCAAGGCCCTGGCCAGTGCGGGACGGCAGCACCGCCCGCACCCCTCCCCTTTCCTCCCCTCACCTCCCTTCCTCCGTCCGGCCCGCCGGCACCTTGCCCCGGCCCGCTACCGGGGAATGGCCCCGAGCACTTTCAACCGCCACACAGACACTCTCGAGAGAGGCGCCCGCCCTGGCCCCCGCCGCTCACCTGGCGCCGCGCCGTCCCCTCGCACGCTCACTGCTCCGCGGCCGCCCGCACTGAGCGGAGGCTCCGGCTCCTCGCGATTAAATCGCTCCTCCACGGGACTTCCGGGAGCGGCGCCCGCCGCGGCCGAGGAGCGTGCGCCCGGTCCGTTGTGAGGCGAGGCGGGCTGGGCTCGGCTCGGCTCGGCGCGGCGGGGCCCCCGTCAGCGCCCGCCCGGCCACATGTCCTGGTGCGGCCGGCAGTGCGCAGCGCCGGCGGGAGCCGCGGGGGGGCGCTGCTGGGCCGCCTTCCGCCTAGGAGCTGGGGGGGTCTATGGAGAGGAGGAGGTGGCGTGGCAGCGGGCGGGCGACGCAGCCACCACAGAGACGCCTCCAAACCGCCCGCCCCGCTCCGGCTGCAGGAGCATTGTGGGATAGGTCCTCCGGCGGCGGTTTGAAAGCGGGAGGGGGGGGGCAGGCGTGAAGGGGAGGGCACGTGACGCGCCACCGCGGCCGGCCAGCGAGGAGCCAATGGGAGGAGGGTGAGAGGGGGCCGGGGCGGGGCTGGGTCTCGAGTCGCGGGCGGGTGCGCCCCCTGGTGGCGAGGTGGCGGCAGGTCGGCTGCTGAGGGACGCGCTGGCGGTGACGTCATCTCGCCGCGCTGTGGGTGCGCCCCGAGCGGCTTGGTTTTAATTACTATTTTTAATGATCGTTTTAATTAAACCAGAGACAGGCAGCGTTGGCCGGAGCCCTGCGGCCGCGGCAGCGCAGCGCCACGGGAGGGCGCGGCGGGGATGAGCCTCGGGCATAGGCCCAGCCGCTCGGGGCGATGGCGGCCGTGGGGCCGGATGCCTCCACAGGGGCGCTGGTGCGGTCCCGGTGTGTTTGCGGTCGGGCACCGGAACGGGCGCTGTGAGGGGATGGCGGCGACGCGGATCCCGCTGTGCGCTCGGGAGTGCCTGAGGTGGGGTCAGTGGTGGAAGTAGCGAGGTTTAGTTCTTATCTGTTTGTATAGCCAGTGTTTGTAGAGCAGTTTCACATAGGGTCATACATCCTGGTAACCGCGAACAGAAAGTTGTTCAATGCGGCAGCAGCTGTTGCACACCAGTCCTGTTTATACAACTCCATCACGGCGCTGCCGGGCTGTGTGAGTGTGTCCATAGCTCCTGCAGGTCTCAGAAGCAGTGGGGAGCGCCAAACCCTAAGCTGAACCCTGCAGGACAACGCATCTGCCGTGGCAACAATCCACAAGGAAGGGGAAGCAGCTCCCCCAAGTACGCAGGCTTGGTTGAGCGTCTCTTCGCGGCCGGAATGAGGTTGTTGCAGCCTGAGTGAAGCACAATGTCTATCAGCGTCAGACAAGAATGACGACATCTTATTAGTTGCCATGATTACTGGTGAAGTATTAATTTAGGATTAACTCGGGAGAACTTGAATTAACTTAGAGCAGCCTGTGGGGACAGCGTGTAAAACAGTCACAGGAAGAAAGGAAAAGACTGGATTCATTAGCTGACTGCAGGGAAATGTATTAAGAAGCAAGACTGTAGCCATAAATTGGAAAGCACACACTTATGGATGGAGATGAAATGTTTATGGTAAATCTGACTTTAAGCTATTAAGCTTAATGAACTCTCCAAATCTTCAATGAGATCATCTAAAGAAAGGATTTTGAAGGTTGGGATTAAAGAAAGCCCTGTTATAAAGATGACTCAGTGCTGTGTTTTCAACAGACCGAAATCTGGAATGACCCTAGCACAATACACTGAAGCAATTAAGAAGGGGGAACTAGCAGAAAACCAGCTGTGTGTTTGACTAGCCAGCCACAGAGGTAAGGTTTTGTTGCAAAGAGGCCATACTGTACACAGCTGCTGTATGTATTACTTGTTACTGTTGAGTCTTTTAATTAAAATGACTACTGAGTCATTTGGGACTCACAGATGCAAAGAAAGCCTCGGTATTCACTGCTTCTATCACAAGTTGTGAAGGCATTGCTGTCATCTACTCATACTGCACAGGTCATTTTGCACAGAAGAGACAGGCAAGATGAAGAGGGGTGTCTGTGAGAGAGAGGAATGCAAAGAGAAACACTCATCACTTCTGAGGTGGTGTCTGTGCTTTTGTTTTATCCTCTCTTTGTGTATCTGATGTTCATTCCAGCTCTGGCTCTTATACCTACTCACACAGCTTCATGATACAGAATAATGGAGGAAAGGCGTTGGCCCTTTCTCATCTACCTTTTGGACTGGGCATGTACTGTACACTCTTTATGATGGAAAGAAGAATCTGGAACCTTACTGTTGTCAGCTCTGGCAAATGTGTCTTGAGTTTTCCTATGTGCACATGAAGTTCCAGCCCACAGAGGTTTCCAGCTGAGGCCAATGCTGTCCAATTGGATAACTGCTTCCAGAACCAGCCCATCAAGGATGAGCGGTCTGTCAGTTCTCTCAGAGGAGGTGTGTCAGTGTGAGGTGTAGATCTGTGCCTGGTGAAAGGGGAAGCAAGAAGTTCAGGCTTTGTTAAGCGATATAGAAATAGGGGGTTATGAACTCTGATTTTTTACTAACCTCTGCAAACAGTATGATATAGGCACATTTATAAATGTGTCAGGCTCCACTCATACACATACTTATTAATATTTTTCTCAGAAATCAGAAGGGTTTGGCCTGAAGGGGTAGATGAAATATCACTGGGATCTGAGGTGAAGATGGCAGGAAAGGAGGTACTTGACATACGCTTGTTTGAGCAATGAATGATTCGTCTATTGGATTCTGAGCTTAGAATACTAGAAGCATAGAATCAGCTACACTGGAAAAGACCTTTAAAATCATAAAGTCCAACTGTTACCCCAGGACTACCAAGTCCACCAGTGAACTATGTGACTGAGGACATCATCTACACAGTTTTTGAACACTTCCAAGGGCAGTGATTCCACCACTTCCCTGGGTAGCTCGTTCCAATGCCTAATCACTCTCTCAGTGAAGAATTTTTTCCTAATATCCAGGCTAAGCCTCCCCTGACACAGCTTCTGGATGTGGATTGAGCTTGACTGGCTCTTGGATTCTGAGCTTTGAAGAATGTGGATATATTCAAACAACATAAGAAAAGTCTGAAGTGGACTCAGAGTTTAATCAGAGCTCATTCACCTGCTCTGCCTTCATGGATGTTCAGTCATGCATATGTTACTCCTTCATTCAGTCTGTTCATCAGGATCTCTGGTGGTGGACTCTGTTTCAAAGCCTCCTCAAGCAGGGTCTTTCTCTGATTTAAAGTATATACTTCTGGAAAATTGTTCTGGCCATAACCAGGATCCTTCCTGCTGCATCAAAAGCCGGTACACTTGGTCCTGTCCACCACGAGCACCAGGATCAGACTGTCCCCTTAGCACAGACATTTATCTGCTTTTGATTTTTAAAATTCCATCTCAATCTCCTTCCTAGGTTAAACAGCATTGAAAGGCCTGCTAAAATCAAATACACAACAGATGCTGTCCGTCCTCTCCAAGGGGCCTGTTACTCTGCTGTAAAAGGAAATGACATTGGTTTGAAATCAGTTTTGTTCCTGAAAAATCAGTGTCGTTCCTTATCTTCTTGCCTTTGAAGTCTTACAAATCAGTCGCTTGATTTATCTTTTTTTCCTGTTTTTTTTCTGGGGATCTTTCCTTCTCTCCCTTTTTCCAGCAATGAGTTTTGATTATTGCTTTAATTCCAGATTAGACTTTAGCTTCTGTTTGGTAACTATGAAAAAGTAAAAATCAATTAACTGGAAAACCCATGGGTGGATTAGCTAATAGCTCTAATAAAGTAGTGTCCTCATATCTCTGTCTTTGGTACTTGCATTCTCATTGCTTTAAAGGAATTTTTCATTTTGAAGTTCTGCCATATGTATGTCTACCATCTAAGTAGGTTGTGTGTTTTGTGTATCAAGGTGCCTCAGATAGTTGGCTGCACTGAGCACATTATTTCCATGTTAGAGCTTTTAATTCCTCTCTGGTTTAAAAAAAGATGTTTGAGATACTTATATTTTGCACGCATGGGTTCATTGTTTGGAAACAGCATGATGTTCTATAAATAAAAATAAGTGGGATGAGTTAACACACACTGATGAGAATTGAAGACTTTTGCTTTTTTTGTTGGTTGGTTGGGTTTTTCCCTTATATTTGTTTAATAAATGCTAGGGCCCATGTTGGAAACAAAGTTATCAAACCTCTGCTTCGGTTGTTTTTTTCAGTCTTCTAAATCATTAGAAGAGGTTAATCAGCTATAATTAGTTCTACTATTGGTGTTTGAACCAGCCATGTTTACCATTTAGTAAGCTAAATACAAAACCCCTTGTTGGCTTAATCTTTGGCAAAACTAAGCTTCAAAAGAATCCAGCGGGTGGGATCAGATGAGATAAAATTTGGCAGCACACGTTTCAGGTTCACTGTATTTCCATATCCAGGAACCATGTGTCAGTTCCTGAGAGTTTCCCGTTCAATTAAAGCATGTTCTGGCTCTGAAGCTGACTGTCTTGGACAAAATGCTAGGAAATCAGACTTTCTCAGTTCCTTGTGGATAGTAGCAACCCTTTTATATAGGATCATAGAAATTTTGTATTGGTTGGCTGGAATTTTCCTCTTGCCATGCCAGGTCGTGGTCACACTTCAGCTGTGCTCTGCGGAGACAGACTGGAATCCTCTGGAATACGTCCCGCTGTAGAAATGAAAGATGTTATTAACAGCAAGGTTGAATATCATGAAAAATAAAAGGCTTCCTGTGTTTAGGGCTATGAGGAAACAGGATGTGAGATAATTATCCATAATTTACAATATATAACCATATTGTTTCCTCAGCAAGGAATGGAATGGGTGTTATCCTGCCATGGAGACACCATTCTTCAATTATTCCAAGAGTTCCCCTGAGCATTTTCAAATAGCCTAGCAGTGAGCTGTGACCAACCGCATTTATTCACAGTCTTAAGACAAAAAACGCTTGGAGCTTTTCACACCAGCATATAATATGTGCATACCTTGCAATTTCTAACAAAACCCAACAGTGCACTCCTTAGCAAAAATGGCCCACATTCTTTCCATGTTCCAACTTAATGTGTTCGCATTTGTGGCACGGTGACCTGCCTAACCAATTTAGCACATTGGCCTTAAGCTGAACCACACTATGCAATGGTCCTCTTCACCACGCTGAACAGCCTTACTGGTTTCCTCAAACTTGCTGCAACAGGTTGTGATAAATAAGATTGAAAGTGTTGGGTGTAACTACCGCCCTTTGTCTCAGAGGAGCTATGGGAGATAGATAATTAAAAAGCCAAGTTAAGCTCAAATCAAAGGCATATGCGGGCTTGAACTCTTTGAGTAGAAGGGTTTTGCTGTGGGGCTGTTTGTGTGAGAGAGTGAGAGGAGGATGCAAGGGTGCAGGGTTAACCAGTAACACCAAGAGAAAACTCAAGAGTACAGCTGAAATAGTTACGGAAGGCGAGTCTTATATCTGTGCAAATAATCAGAATAAGGAAAAAGACAATGAAACGTTCCTAATTCCTCTATCAACCTCTGCTCACACTGAGCTGTAGGATGGCTGCTAGCCACCTGGTTCTATCAAGTGGTGTAGTGATGCATAACATATGTGAGTCAGACACACACGTGCTTCACAAATGCCCAGGACAAACTTGGCATGAAACACTTATGCAAGCCATACACTGTAAAGGTGCAGTGTATTCTAGGTGCTGGTGGCACTGCGAACTACAGCCAAGGATTGGGTATTTCAGGCTGTAACTGTGATAACGATTGCTTTCAGGTATTGCCCAGGAATGTGCTACATGATTGCATCTGCATAAGTCACTCTTCAAGAAACCCTGCAGTCTCAAATGACCAAGGAATGGCAGAGAACCCAGTATCCATTTCTGCTTTTTCATACTCTCCTTTCTAAAAGTACTAGTTTATGTTTTGTATTTCCAATTTCTTGATTTTTTTAGCATATAATCTCTGCATGATTTCCTTAATTAATGTGTGATTAGTGTTTTCAAGCTACATAGTGCCCTTATGGTTATAATTTATTATTACATAAATAGGCAGCTTGGCGAGACTCAGCTTTTGATACCTCCTCAGCCAACACTGAAAGTGTTTCTGCTTCTCAGTCTCAAGCCCGTGCCTGCTGTAGATTCAGCCGTCTATTTGTGAAACTCTTCAATCCTCTCGATATAGAAAGCATATACATTAAAATAATGTATATTTTTCCCATGTGGCAATAGGAAGAAGAACATTTAAAATTATATGCTGAATTCTTAAATAACTGATTCTTAATGTATTTCACGTAAGGTCTTGTCTTTCCTTTCTTTTTGATGTAGGAATAAGCCCACTAATATTCTTGATTTAATGCTCCATCCCTGGAAGTGATATCCTATCTCTGGCAGTGTTCAAAGCCAGGCTCAATGGGGCTTTGAAGAACCTGGTCTAGTGTAAGGTGTCCCTGCCCATGGCAGGGGGGTTGGAAATAAATGATATTTAAAGTCCTTTCCAACCCTAACCATTCTGATATTCTCTGATTAATGAGGAGGTGGATAAACTGCACCTTTCTGGTTAGTTTACAGTATTTCAGCTAAAGCAATTGTTAAGTGCAAATTCTTCTTGTCTTTATTTTGAACAGGTAATAAACTAGGCATACCTGGGTGGTACTGAAGAACTGAAGGAACCCTACAAAATGGAACCTTTCTAAGGCCTGTCACAAAGGAGCGTTGATTGGTGTTTTGTTATTTGCATGTTGATTCCTAATTTGTACCATGCAGCTGGACTCTGTAGATGGAGGTACTGCTGCCCTTATTGCATGCCAGAGCTCTCTTACATCAATTAACTTATAAACCAGTGTTCCTTCCCTATCTTTTTTAATTCTTTTTGTTTAGCCTGAAGGGTGAAAACCTCTCATCTATCAAGAGCTTATGAAATCGTACTGGGGAATACTATAAAACTGCATTTTAGTAGATTTGTTTCATGAGAATCAATACTTTTGTACTCCTATGAATATCTGAAAGTTTTTAGTTTTTAAGCAGATGCAAAAGGTCCATTAGTTGATTTTTTACATGCTAGATAAGGGCAGAATGATTTCTCTGATCTTCCTTATTTAACCTGGAAAGGTTAGGAACATTCTTTGGCCTTTGATGGTTCTGCTATGGAAGAGCCCCATATATTTAATTTAAAATGCTGAATCTTTAGCACAGACTTACTTTCTCCAAAGTATTGACTAACTACTACAGTGAATCAATAAAAAGCAATAAAAATCTGGCTTGAAATCTTTTTCTTCCTCAGTTGTCCAACATTTTGAGACTTGCAGTGCCATTTGCCCTTCCTTGAGTTTCTGAATCCATCAGGCTTCCCAAAATTCCCTCCAGTTGCTGTTCCCCCTGTTGAGGAATTCTGTATCTGTAACTCTGTGGTTTAGCAATGGTGGTAGCTGGAGGATGAACTGGAGTCTCTGAAATGGAACTTACCATGCCATCTAGTTGTGATCCAAGAGAAGTTAAAGAATATGATGCAGAACAGTGTCTTCCAGGAAACATCTGTCTTCTGTTCATACCAAGAGAAATTACCTTCCCCTTCTGTCTAAGCTGTCTTTCTCCTGAAGCTTTGCATTTCAGGAAAAACAAGCAACACAAGTAGGAAAACCAAATAACAAATCACAACAAATAACAAATAAATCCCAAACTGATGGTTCTGGATGTCAGTACATTGTGTGATTTGAGACATTAATTCTGCTGCCTGCTGTAAGGCACTACCCATCAGCAAAAGGGAAAAACAGATAACTAGAGATAGTAATACCCTATTGGATTGCTTCACTTGAGTTAAACAAGCTTGTCTGGGAATACTCAGAGAGCAGAGAAGATGATCCACATTCACTTTAGGTAGTGCTGGTAGAGTGGGTGAGGTAGTAACAAGAAAAGGTGATTCTACTTGATTGTTTCTATTTGGGAAAGCTTATTCTGTCTTTTCGGTAAGTCTGAGTCTGCCAAGTCAGTTTGTTGATCCCCTGTGTTGGCTGCATGGGTTTTCTTCAGCGAAAGCAGGAAACAGAAATGTAGTTCAGTGTCACACAAGTTGGAAGAGGAGTTGCCCTGAGGCAGCGGCTCTCAAGGGGCTGGGCACCTTCTCAGGGCACTTCCAGACCATTTTGTCTATTAACTTCTATTAACTAGTTTTATAGTTGCATATGTTTCCTTAAATGCATTCTTTAAATGCATTCAGCAAATGTCATGTCCTGAACACCACAGGGAATAATCCAAGTGACTAAAGTAAGACTAAAACTTGGCCGTAACCTGTAAAAAATCATTTCAGACTTCAGATTATTTGCTGTATAGCTCACGTGAATTACATCAGTGCCAACACCACTGACATCAGCTTTTCCAAACAGTCATTTAGCTTTGTATTATTATCAAATACTTTACGTTGATAACATAATTTGGACGTTAGTGATTTACTGCACCCAGACTGGGCTATGTTATTACAGTCCCTAAGCAGTAATCCCCAGCTGATCACCCAGAAACAGCAATAGAGTCACCCATGAGGTTGCTGGCTAATGGTCCAGTACAAACTGAAGTGCTGCTAGCTATCTGATAAACACATTTTTCATAGCAGACTTGCTAATACAAGCATCACTATAAAGAACATCCTTAAATGATATATAATACTGCTGGTATATTTTTAGTGCATAATAAACAATCTTTTTACCCAAAGCAAAAATTAAGCAGCCACTCTACTAAAAGTACACCTCATTTAATACACTCTAAGAATAATAGTATAGCATGTTCAAAAGTCTGTTGAAATAAATAATTTCTGGCACTTCCCCCAAAATAACTGCCTGTCTGCAGCTGCTCGGGTTGACATTATAGAAAAGGCAGCTAGGTGGAGGAGTTGCTAATGTTATGGTGCTCAAGCTAATGCAGCCTCTGTCAGGGCTGGACTGGAGGAGGTGCTGAGCTTCATGCACTTTGAAGAGTTCTGTTGAGTCGCTGAGATTACTCGAGGGATATCAAATTAAGCACAAATGTAATTGTTTCCTAGGTCCATTATCACATACCTCGGGTTTGTCTTTGGCTGTTTTGATTTCTTTTTTTTTCTCCTATGGTTACGTTTCAACAGTTAAGATAGGATTTTTTTTTTCCAGCAGGGCTTTTTCCACCCAAAGTTTTTTAGTCCTTTGAATTTAAATGCTAAAAGAAAATCTAACCAAAGCTGTAAGCACCTGCACATCTGTAAATAATAATGAAAAAGAGTGAAGTAACCTCCCCAATAGGAAGTCAGTGAGTTGGACACCTTCTGACTGCAGTCTCAAGGCCCCCGAGCCGTGGGGCACACTGGGTGCTGTGGGGTCTCCATCCCTGCTGCTCTCAGCTCTGTGTGTGGGAACAGCAGGACTGCCATGGTATGAACATGTCACCCAAGCAAGGCTCGTGGGACACAGAGGTGAAAGACAAACGTTGGAGTAGTGTCTGAAAGGAAAAGCTGTTCATTATCTCTTCGATGGACTCGGGAGATAAAAAGAGTGTCTGGGTTGTGACTATCATGTAATGTCAGACATAAGAAGGGATCTGAGCTGTCAAACCCAATTGACCAGCTATCAAAGGAACCAACGCTGTCATAGTTATCTTCTTCCCCTAACAGCTTGCTGTTACTGCAGATCTATTTAGGTGGAGTGACTGCAGCTAACTGCCATTGTTGCCCACAGCAGCTCCTTAGTGAACCACTGCACTTCATAGTCTGCATGTGCTTGTCACACTGGATATGTCTTTGTGACCCATTGTGTATCGATTTGTTTGTCAGATTTCACAGAATCACAGAATGGTTGGGGTTGGGAGTCACCTCTGGAGGTCATCTGGTCCAGCCCTGCCTTGCTCAGGCAAGGCCACCCACAGCCAGTTGCCCAGGACCATGTTCAGAAGGCTTTTGAATGTTTCCAAGGATGGAAACCACACCTGGGCAACCTGTGTCAGTGCTCAGTTGCCTCTCACAGTGGAAAAAGTATTTCCTGACATTCAGAGGGAACCTGTGTTTCAGGTTGTGCCTATTGCCTTGGGTCGTGTCTTTGGGCACGAATGAAAAGAGCCTGCCTCTGTCCTCCTTGCACCCTCCCTTCAAATACTTGTACACACTGATGAGATCCCCCTGAGCCTCCTCCAGGCTGAATAGCCCCAGCTCTCTCACACTCTCCTCATACGTGAAGCGTTCCAGTCCCTTCAATATCCATGTGGCCCTTTGCTGGGCTCTCTTCAGTAGCTCTATCATCTCTCTTTTGTACTGGGGAGCCCAGAACTTCACCCATCACTCTAGGACGGGCCTCCCTAGTGCTGAGCAGAGGTGAAGGATTGCCTCCCTCAGCCTGCCTTCTTTGTGGCAAGGGCACCTTGCTGGCTCATGTTCAACTGGGTGTCCACCAGAGACCCCCAGGACCTTTTCTGCTAAGCTGGTTTTCAGCAAGTGTGGGAAAAGAAGAAAAGAAAATGCTATCAAGTTAGATGAGCTGCTTTATAAATCCCCAGATTGGTAGGCTGGAGAGCTAAGTTGATCATATAAATGTCATCCTCCCAGGTTAGCGAGGTGGAAATGTTATAAAGTTTTAATAAAGCAGAAAGCCACATTTCTGCCGAGGGAGCACATTAGATATTTTATAGCTATTAATAACATTAAGCTGTTATGGGGAGCCAGTAATGACCTGCTCAATTAGACATTAAGAGCATGACTGAGTCCATCCCTGAGGTGTGACAAACCTTATGTTTCACATATTGCGGTACGCTGCTCAAACAGAACATTTTAAGCACATAATATAAAAGTGTGTATTTTTGCCTACCAGCCTCTTCCAGCTGCTTTAAAGTCTATAATAGAAGCGTTAAAGAGACTCCAAATAAAACTTTGTACCTTTTAAACAGAAATAAGATCTGAGACTGCACCTCTCCAGCAGAGACGTGATGGGTGCTCCATGTTCAGCCAGCCCCTCTGGAATAAGTTGGATAGGCTGAACATTCTGTAGCCCTGCAGTTATGTGTTTCCTTGGCCTTCCTTATCACAGTATCAACATACCGGGTGGTGTGGTGGCCTGGAGGGCACTGCTGCCCATGAGCAATTACTTTGCTCCCCCCAGCTTGCTGACCAAAAGGACTTCAAGGATGGGTAGGGAACTGTTTTATGGGTGTGATGAATTTATCAGGTAGCAGCTGCCAGCTTCTGGGTGCTCCCGCTTTTGTGGTGGGAGAGGTGGGCAGCCTCCACATGCTGCTCTTTGGAGCTGTGCAGCTTGCTCCCATCCCTGACTGTCACTGGGACTAACTGGGCCCTTGGACTTGCATGTGGCAGGGGGATAACTGCTGTCATCCGGCTTGTCCATGGGCCCCACGGCTCCTGGGAGCACTGCCTGCTGTGGTAGTTTGTGTGGATTTTCACAGTGATTTTAGTAAATCAGATTTCTATATTTTTTAGAGGAAAAAATGTGCATTTTCAGTTTACTGTGGCTAATAATTCTTGAAAATTTTAAATGGAAAGAAAAACTCTGTGCATGCTGGCTACAAGTGCCCTTATTTTATCGGGGTTCAAATACTTAGTAAGGTACGTGTGGGAAACAGTACAAAATGCTCTTTGAATAGGGCTTCTTCTTCAAACGAGAGCCAGACTGATCAGCTGGAAAGCCCCTTTCTGCGGCAGCTTCTCCAAACCAGCCACCAAGCGACTATTACACAATTGGAGTTGCAGAAGATGCGAAGTTAACTCAACCAGCCACATGGTGGAGCTAAGGTCAAAACAGGAGGTGGTGCTCCTGGCTTTGGGACAAGAGATGCTGCCTCCCAAACTGCTGGCAGGCTTCCTGCTTGGTATCTCCCAGACCTACGTGATCAGTAGGCCTGCAAATAGAGACAAAACATAAACAAAAAAGCAGTTCTCAACAGGGAAGAGATTTAGCAAGTGGTTTCAGCAAAGCTAAATAGCAGGATCTAATACCAGCGGGCACAGGACCCCAGATGCAGACCTAACTGCTGCAATGAAAACGTAAGATTAGGGGAAAAGTTTGCTTTTCTAGAGGCTTGAACATTGTGTCTTGTTTCTACATGAAAAAGTATTTTGTCAGGATGTAAAACACAGCCTGTGGCTCAGAATAAGGCTGTGATTATTTGTGCAGATGCTACTCGCTGTGAATGAGAAGTATAACTGAGTGACTTTTAGATTGGATGAGGAAGTTCTTTACTATGAGGGTGGTGAGGCACTGGATTGGGTTGCTCAGAGAAGTTGTGAATGCTCCATCCCTGGTGGTGTTCAAGGCCAGGTTGGACAGAGCCTTGGGTGAGATGGTTTAGTGTGAGGTGTCCCTGCCCATGGCAGGGGGGTTGAAACTAGATGATCTTAAGGTCCTTTCCAACCCTAACTATTCTATGATTATATGACAGCATCCTGTACTTCCAGAAAAAAAACAACGAAGGCTTGCTGCAGTAACTCAGTTCAGTCAAGGTTTCTGTTCACTGCAATGAAATAGATTCAAAAGTATTGATCAGGCAAGTATCAGTTAGCCTCATCATTTGGAGGAGACGCTCTCTCACAACGGGTGTTTCCACCAGCAGGGCAGGAGGGCCTGGTGAACTGTCCCCTGCTTTGTGCTGCACCCTGAAGAGGTGGCAGCACATCACCCTTTGAGATGATGGTTTGGTGGCCAGTCACAACCAGACTGGCTAAGAGAAATAGCAGGCTCTGCAGGGACACTGCTTTTATGTCATGTTACAATATCGGTCCTTCCAGCAGTCCTTCTGTCTTCTACAGGCTATAAATTACCTATTCCTGGCTTTCCTCACCAGATGACCACTTATACACTCCCTTCCTTCCCACCCCTCACAAACACTTCATTGTACAGCAGCAATACCACTTGTTTTTGCTGTGGTTTTATCCCAGTTATCCTTTTTTTTTGAGAAGGCAGCAAGCTGTGATTGAGCACAATGACTGTCCCTTAGGGAAAGGGAACGGCCGGAGATGGTTTTAGTTCCTATTAAGTGGCAATGCCAAAACTCCACAGGATCAGGCTTTATATGACCGGACATATTTAGCATTTTAGCAGTACTGTAAGTGAGGATGTGCATCGTTTCCTGGGATTGTCAAGCTTTTAATGGAACTCTTGGTATGCAATGAATAATATTATTACAATACTGTACTCTCTTAAACACAACGGACCTCATTAAAGCCCCACCCACAGAGGTCAGA